TTTCATTTTCATATTGACCAACGCCAAAAAATAATAGCATTTTCATATCCAGCGCATAAAATTTAATCGGATAACGCGAGGAGCGAAATTTGATGCCGAGTTACAAAGCAGTTTTATTTTTAATGTACTCTTCTACATTACACATTGTCACATTGTGTTCGCTTGTGACACAATACATCACTGCAGATCTTGCCATATATTGCCTGAAATCTACAAGACGAAGGTGGGATTTGCGGGGAGTGAGCAAATTGGTGAAAAGCGTTTGATCTACATGTAGGCCCAGGTCGAAGAACTAAGAAACGTGTGAAAGATTTTCTAACAACCACCGAGTTTATAATATTATGCGCAGTGTGTAGCCTAGTGTGTACGGTGTACTTCTGGCGGCCAGTTGGCGGTACAACGGGGTAATTACAGTACTTTTAATATTAGGACAGTATTAGGCCCACAACTGAGACAATTGACGGATGGCGGTGTAAACACAGTAAAGGTGCAAATACTATGATTATATTGGGGATTCTTTTCGTACATTGGCAAAACCTGGCGGTAAGCGGGACTGGCGGTACAACGAGGTTTGACTGTACTGTTCGAAGAGGTTTGGACTTATGAAGTCACATATTATGGGAATAGTGTGTTTATCACAATGCTTTGAGGTGTGGTTTCGGTGTCACGCTTGTCTCGATATTATATTCAAACTTGGGATTTTCGCGCACGGTAAACAGTTCATGTTATTTTGAGGAGAACTGCCTCAACAACTGGAATAACGAAATGATCTGGTCAAACACAGTGTACGGTCTCTGTGTAAAGTTGGAATCTTTTTATAAGCCTCTGTGAACCATCGTCTGTAGTGTAGCAGACTCAGCTGGCTCATGCAGGAGACCCGAGTTTGATTCCCGAATGGGGAGAAAATTTTGATTATCTTAAAATTAGTCTTTCCATTGGGATGTTATTCCCTCTCTACCCGGGGGAGGGGAGGGGGGCGGTGCTACTGAATGAATTAACATGTTCTTGTGCACAGTAGAATTGTAAATGAGCTGATTCATCCATTTCATGCTCATAAATGTGCCTAAACTGCAACGGGAAACTGCTTTTTTTTTCTTTCCTAAAATTAGAACTGCCCATAAATAACCACGAAAATTAATAAATAAAGGCATGTGTCCACCTATCCGAATATTGTCCGTTTTAACACTAAACGTGTGTAATTCAAGAAAAAGCTCAGGACGTTAAGTCATGTAAATTATGAACTCACAACCAAGAGGCCTGCCAGTGTCAGTATTTTCGGTTTTGGTGGACATAACACATTTAATTTATGTTTTAAAAAGGTATGAACAACATCAAATTAAATGACATTACTCTATGTATATTACAAAAAAATAGAAAAACAACACATCAGATTCAGAATAATAACAATTTAAAGAATTAACAAACCAACAAATTAAAACACAACCAGAGGGAAAAATTAAACAGAAACAGCAATATAATATATATAAATAGCATGCAATTTTACTTACCCTTCGCATGAAAATAACTATACATGGACACCTTAAAATTATCAAAATACATTATTAATACATTATATTCTATGTTATGAAGAAGCCCACATTTTAAAAAAAACAAAAAACGAAACATTTCTATTTTTATTCCCCGCTTTTTTTTTTCGACTTTTTATTCCCTTGGTCCCCGGTGGCAAAAATTGCGGCCGCGACAAACGCAGATGCTAGATTACCTACTCATGCAGAAAACCAATTTAAAGCTAAATAAATCCTGCAACATCTGACCATTAAATATTTCATCTATGTTATGAGGCACCCGAGATATAGTCATTCATTAATGACCTTAAAAAATCACGCTTTGGAAAATTGTGCGAAATCAAAGAAATGTAAAATTGTCTTCTCGCGTGTATTGAGGAGCATCAATTTCTATTAGAATGGACATACATTACATATCCAATGAATAGAGAATTTTATATTGCAATAAACAATATTCTATTTTGATATTGCCACAATAGTTTGAAAAAAACAACAACCGGAAAATATAGCAGTCACAAATACCATTTCTAAAAAACTTGGACTTAACATTAAATGTGCTCATTGTTATTTTGCTTAGGGGCCTTTAGTTTTGTGTAGAGCACGAACCCTTTGTGCAACGACTCTAATACTTTTGGACATAGTTATCCGTCATTTCATTCTAAATGTCACAGAGAACTGCAAACAAAGGGTCTGAATTGGGAGCAAAGTCGCGTTTCTTTAGCTGCTGTTGCATGGTGCATGTACTCACTATTCACATACCTGTAAGATTCATATGGGGACTATTTATTACTAATATTAGTGACTTCTCTAATGTTGATTTGATTTGATTTCCAAAGAAATATCTAGTGGCATTAGCCCTGTAAAAAAGTTATTTATTATTCATGGAAATGTCACTTGAATGACACCATGACGAAAATAATGGTAATTTAAGACATCAAGTTCCGTCACTTGCGCGTTGTAGTCCACTAAACCAAGCCATCTGGTGATTCTCATGAGGGCGTTTTTTGTTCATTCCACCCCCAACCACCCAAAACCATGGCAGTTTCGTGGCCTCTGTTCTCACTCAGAGATGAGTATATGTCCAAAATCCAAATAACACTGTCCATGTGCAAAAGGTCTCGTGATCGACACAAACCATAGGCTCCTAAACAAAATCAAAATTAATAGGCCTACTAATGAGAACATGTTATGTTGAGTCCAGGTTTTGTGTGGTATTTGTAACTGCTCTGTTCTCCAATCTGTTTGATTGTGCACAATTTTGCCAAGCCTGATTTTTTAAAGGTCAATTTTGAGTGACCATATCTTGGCCGTCTCTTAACTTAGATGAAATACATGTATTAATGAGTCAGATGATGGAGAATTTATTCAGCTTTAAATTGGTATGCTGCATGAGCGGGTAGCATAACATTTAACACGATGATTGGTCATATTTGTTTGCAAGTTTCTTTTGGACGCCACTATATAATAGTAAATGTCATTTATATCTCGCATTCCTCTAAATAAGCCACAAAAATAGTACTCTATGTTCTAATAAATGTTCTAATAAAACGTGCACTGTGCACCACATACGGTTCGACTCTCTCTCTCTCTCTCTCTCTCTCTCTCTCTCTCTCTCTCTCTTCATAATTGCTACGTTCGGTTAATTTCATCTGTGCAAAGACGAAGTACTTTTTGTACCCAAGTTTTGTCCAGTTCCTTTGCACCAACAACCACTATTTAGTTTTGGACACGTTGTCCTTGGCCTGCCTTGTGTATGTGGTGATTCTTTCTCAGAACATGTTCACATACAATGTCACCGATATCTTTTATTTTGACGTGCACCCAATTTATAACCATACCTTTTCCTTTATTTTACTTGTCCTCTTTATTTTTTTAAAAAAATAATGAGGCGTTTTACTCCCCCATTGACACAATTTAGATTATTTAGCAGGTGGGCTTCTAACCCTGCCTGTCAGGGTCAACCTGCACCGAAAGAGATACAACATCCCGGCAGAAAGACTCGATAAAAATGTGATCTCACTCGGGAATCGAACTAGGGTCTCCTATGTGCGACGGTGAAGCGCCTAACCGCTACACCACAGACGCCTGTACCTGTCCATTTCAACATAGCTGCGCCTGTGTTGACAATGTCAAACCACACCAGACCCAGTATCTCTTTCAAGCTTCCCTTGGTGAAGGTTTGGGGCACCATATCATTAACACTTCTGTTCATTGGTTCAAATTGAGGAAGACCAATTGCTCAGGGGACCAGACTATTAACATTTTAGTGGAGACAAAAGTGTATTCAGAACGATCTCCGCTCAGCTGTACTCTGCCATCCACACTTGCCAACCCGGCCAGATCTTACACACTCAAGCAGTGACGTCTACGCGTACATTAACCCTAAAACAGGCAGTAGATATAGATCTAGTACTAAAAGTTGAACCTTCTTCTTTGTGTTTGCTAACGATAACGGCCAAGATGGCGCCGCTCATGGGGGCCAATGAAACAACGATGAACGGGAACGTTTTGAAGGCGTAAGGGCACAATTCTGAAGAGACATGATTCGTCAGACGTTGCTAGATCTAGTGTTTTTCGCTTTTGAAATATCGTATTATAATTTTGACGTATTCTTTTTGAATCACCCTGTCCTGTATTGTAGTGCTGTATTTTTCTACATTAACTTTTTTTTCAGTCGGTTTCCTCTGACAAACCCGGCCTATACGGGACTCTACTTCCCCCTCCCCCCTCCCCCCAAAAAAGCAGACACCCAAAACCACATACAACAGGGCACGCAGTCAGCTCGGTTGATAGGCTATCATGCTGGACTACTGAACGATGGCACGGTTTCGAATGCCCCACGGGGTGTTTTGAACTTGGGTTGTTCTGAGG